TTCCTCTTCGATCAGAGATGTCAGAGATGAGGGACAGTTACGTAATGATCAAGGATTTGATAATATATCAGCACTAGATGATGTTGAGTAAGGGGAGTGCCCCTTACGTCCCAGGTTATAGAAAAATCTCAACTTTAAAGATCGACTAGAATACATTATCCTTCTACTAGATATCTCAGTTCTGAGTATATTACAGTTACTCAAAAGAGGGAACCAGAAAGCTTTCAAAAAGTTCAGAACCATTAAGAAAAGACTGAATGGTTGAAAGAAATGGAAGAAAAAATGAGCTCTTTGAAGAATAATAATATATATGAGTTAGTTGAACTTCCAAAATACAAAAAAACTTTGAAAAATAAGTGGGTATATAACCTTAAGATGGACGATGAGAAGCTAGTGAATTATAAGGCTCGTTTGGTAGTAAAGGGTTTCAATCAGAAAAAAAAAGAATTGACTTTAATGAGATATTTTCTCTTGTTGTGAAGATGAGCTCCATTCGAATAATTCTTGGTTTGATTGCTAGTTTAGATCTTGAACTGGAATAACTGGATGTAAAAACAACATTCCTTCGTGGTGATTTGAAAGAAGAAACCTACATAGATCAACAAGAGGGATTTGAAGTTAAAGGAAAAGAACACATGGTTTGCAGGTTGAAAAAGAGTTTGTATGGATTGAAACAAACTCTGAGACAGTGGTACAAAAATTTGATTCTTTCATGGTCAATCATGGCTACACTAGAATAAATGCAGATCATTGTGTGTACTTCAGGACATTCCCAGATTATAAGTTTGTCATTTTATTGTTTTATGTTGATGATATGTTGATAATAGGATAAGACACTTTAGATATTAGTGGTTTGAAAAAAGAATTGTTTGACTCTTTTGATATGAAAGATTTAGGACCAACAAGTCAAATTTTTGGTATGCAGATTACTCGTGACAGGAAAGCTAAAATGTTATAGTTGCCACAAAAAATGTATGTTGAGCAGGTTCTAAACAGATTTCATATAAAGAATACTAAGCTAGTTAGCATACCACTTGCTAGTCACTTCACACTTAGTAAGAAATTATGTTTTGCTACTCAATAAGAAAAAGAAGAAATGTCAGTTGTTCCTTACTCTTTTACAACTGAGAGTTTAATATATGTTATGGTTTACACTCGATCAGATATTGCTCATGCTATTGATTTGGTAAGCTGATTTCTTTATAATCCTGGTAAGAGTCATTGGGAGCAGTAAAATGAATTTTCATATATCTAAGAGGTACTTTTAAGATGTATTTATGTTTTGGAGATTCAGAACCAATTCTAGAAAGATATGCAGATGCAGATATGGTAGGTGACATTGATAGCAATAAGTTTACTTCAGAATATGTGTTTACTTTTGCAGGGGGAGCTACATTATGACAGTCTAAATTGCACAAATGTATTGCCCTATTTACAACTGAGGCAGAGTATGCAGTTTTAATTAAAATAGGTAAAGAAATGCTCTGGATGAAAAGATTTCTCAAAGAGTTGGATTTAAAATAAGATAAGTATGTAATAAATTATGATAGTCAAAGTACTCTAAATTTGAGTAAGAATGTCATATATCATTGTCGTACTAAACATATTGATATGAGATACCATTGAATACGAAATGTGATAAATAATAAAGATATATTATTAAAAAAATTTATACTGATAAAAATTCAACTAACATGTTGAGCAATGTACGGTGGACATCTCTTCATGTATTGGAGGGAGAGATTGTTGGTTATGTATCCGGTCCAAAAGAAAAAGAATGGGTAAATAAATAATTTAAAAGAAAATAAAAAAAAGGGGAATTAAGGCTGCAATATATTGGGTATATATATATATATGTGTGTGTGTGTGGTGCATAAAAATAAAAAAAAAAGAGTTCGAGTGAATTTAATTCAAAATTTTAACTGTTATTTTTTTACATTAAAAAATGTTTCACATAAAATTTTATATTTATTTAATTTTTTAATTATTATCTAAATATTATTACTCCTTTATTCATCAATTTAATTATAATTATTAATTTCTACTAATTAATTTAAAATTAACTTAATTTATACAACTAATTTTATTTTAATTCGAAATCCAATAATTTGAACCCTCTCGGCATTTATTTAATTTGAGTTGTTTCCGAGCATACCTGATAAACATATATATATATATATGTGTGTGTGGAATATTAAATTCAAAAGTTAATTATTGATTATTCTAAAAGCTTAATTAATTCAAGTCATGGAACAGCTTCTTGAACAGCTGAATGTAATGAGTCTCTAAGCAAATCGCAAGTAACAAGCTGCCATCTTTTTCAGGACTGGTCAGTATATAACCTTTCCCTTCACTATACATACTCGCCGGCCGAACGTAGTCCGGTAAACCCCACCCAAAGTCCGTTTCCGTCGTCGGCAACCGGCTCCAGTTCCCGACAGCAAGATTCGGACTCCGGTAAAACTCATTCCCCTTCATCGGCACCAGAGCATCTAAGTTATCTTGCAGTGCTAAAAAATCAATGGCTGATCTCAAATACTCGTTGTCCATTCTCTTTATCGAACTGTGGATTCTCTCAACCGTTGAAACTAACGGCTCCGTTTGAAGTTCTCCGGCCAAAGCCACCGGTCTTGCATGGAAAATCACATTCCCAAAGTAATCTTCCGGGATGGGAGGACAAAGTCTTGCTCGTCCATTGACGGCTACGTGAAACCTCGTAGCTTGATCACTAGGTAAACCACGAGCCTTGGTGGCGGCTCGCCATATATGCGCGACGAGAGCTTCATAAGAGGTGTACTTTGTTCTTGTTTCACTATTATTAACCATGGCTTTGAGGGTGGCGAGGAAGTCAGGGGTGATCTTGAGGTGGATGGTGGAGTTTGTTTTGACTTGACTCAGTGAGTGGAAGTCTTGAGTTTGCGTTGCCGCGTTCATGGTCGGAGCTGGGTCGTACTCGGCGTGGTGAAACGTCGGTGAAGGTGGTGAGCGAGGAGAAAGTACGGTGCGGTCCATGAAGGGTTCATGAGGATTAGGGAGGCCCCGTGCGATATCAGCCCACGAGTTGATGAAGCGTACGGCTGCTATACCGTCGACAAGAGTGTGGAACATTCCAATTCCCATGCATATTGATCCGCATTTAAAACGAGTTAACTGTCCCATAAACACGAATTAATTAATATAATATAAATTAATTAAGTATAATTTGAGAATATTTAAACCTGTGTTAGAAGCAAAGGGTAAGAGGAGATTGGTGTTGAAATAGTCAACGGAGGGAACAAGCCAGCCGAGTCCTGAATTCTCAGCCGAATCAGAAAGAATATCAGCCAACTGGCAACCGGCTTCAGCCTCAACAAACAGTACGCCCTCCCCATTACAGTCCATCTCAAGCCTCCCATTTGGGTCTCTCGTGAGTCTACCGGCAACCGGATAAAACGGCACCAGAACTTGACTTAAAGCGTCTTTCACCACCGCACTGTCAAAGAATTCTCCGTCGGCCGACGCCGGCGACGAATCACGGTGTTTGTAGAAATGCACGGTCTGCATGTGAAGCTTCACGTGCAGAAGGTCCTGGTTTGAGAGCCACAGCTTTTTCTTGAGTGTTTCGTGTGCTGGCTTGATGATGATCGATTCCTTCACGTCAACCTGCATGGTTATAGTCTTGTTCTGTTGGCCTGCGAGGATAATTTACAGATCTAACTTGATGAAGAAATATGCATAGATACATACATATATATATATAGAAGAACGGTGTATGTGGAGTTGCCACGGTGGTGTGAATTTGGAGGCTACGTTAATTACTCAATTATTATTTACTCCACCCAACTATGAAGGCACGTTCATCGGTTATCAACCACATATTTTTGTTCTTTAATTTCTTTTCTTTTGTTGTTATTGTGTAATTTCTTAAGGTTATTATTTTCAACAATTTCAATAAATAAATAAATAAATAGCAGACACAGTATGAATCTAATTCTTTTTTTTAGTGCTAAAACGACAACGTTTCTTTGTTGATATTTTTCTGGGAACATCAACACCATCCATTAATTGCCATTGACTTGTATGATATGTAGTATGATGGTATGTTTTCAATATTAACGGTGAGATACGATGTATCTATAGCCATTTTTATTTTATAATTATATCATATATCTATTGTTATTACACTTCAAAATTTTACTTCCACGAAAAAATATATCAACTCGTTTAAAACTCTCCTTCATAACCGCCGCTGCCATATAAATTTCCGGTGGCGGGCGCCGTCCATGAGTTAAACGACTGAGTTTGTATAAATGCGGTAGATCTTGAGGTGCAGAAGATCCTGCTTTGACAGCCGTAGCCGTTTCTTGGGCATGATGATCGAAGCTATCTGGTTTCGTTTGGCTACAATGATAGATGTACTTTGTACAGACACAGACGAGCTGAACCTATATTTACACATACATACATAGAATTAGGTCATGTATATTGACTTGCTGGTGCTGTGTGAACCACATAAATTTTTTTATTTTACTAGTTCTTTTTTTACTTTGTGGGTATTCTATATATATATATATATATATCGTGTAAGTAATTACCTTTCTATTTTTGTATTTTTGTACACATAATTCTTTTCTTTTATTTACGTATCAACCATTTTGAATTCGTGTGTTTGCTGCTGTAAGATTGGTAGGTTACTAAAATCAGAAGTTGGTACTCGTATTTAATGCAGTAGGCCTTTAAATCTCTGCATCTAATTTATGTAGGCTTCCAACCAAATCTACACGAGAGGGAGATTTAGTGAGAAATTTTACATTTATAATTATATAAATAATATATCACCCATATGAATAATAGTGTAAACATAAAACATGTATACTTATATAGTAGTTAAATAGGTTAAATTATGTGTGGTTTGGCAGTCTTAATTAATGACATTTGGACAAATGTAAAGTTATACATAGAGGAATTCTACTATTATTATATCTCTCATATGTAAATTGGATAAAGTTATTCTTACGGAACTTGCGTAGTTCAAGAACAGTTTGAGCAACGAAACTTCTCGAAGAGAGTATGAAATTTGGGGAGACTTTCGTTTGTGTCAGTTTCATTTTTCGAACCCTAAAATACTAATTTAGTTTTTAGAATTCAACCAATTTAATTTGTATACCTATTACGAGTAATACGATAATCACACATTTTTTATCGTACATATCCAAATGCCATAATAATTCAACACAGATAGGAAAGAGCAACGCTCGCAATTTTACTTAGAGTTCGAGTTGCTACGTACATAATATTTTTTTCACCAAAATTATTACGTAAAAAATATTATTTTTTGCCCGAGAGGGGGTAACACCTGCGTTATTTATAAAGATTATACACAGGTAAACATTAAACTTAATTTACACGAATTGTTAATTAATTTTTTTGATTAATTTATTAATTAAAAAGTTGATATGTTAATTAAAAATTAAAATAAAAAAATATATGTTCATATTTTTTTGTTGAGTTTTAATATAATAAATTATTTAAAAAGAAAATATAATCAATATAATTAAATTAATGCCAAATTTAGTCAAAATTTGAACAATTAATTTATGGGTTACTTTTTTTTCTTAAATCTAAATTAAATTTATTATGGACATAAAATTTTATTTTCTAAAATAATTATATTAATTTATTTATATATATAGGAATATTATATAAGTGAGAAGAGGGAGTGTGAAATATTTGAGGGCGGAGGAAGAAGAAGATTTGGAGAGGAAGGAATTTGCTCCGCTTTTAGTCCGTCGAGGACGAAGGAGATCGGCACCTGGACCACCTCTTCTCCCGTGCTTTATTTCTCCATTAATTCCTTCTAATTTTCTCCCCTCAACTTTATTTAATTCTAATTTCCCCCCCTCAACTTTATTTAATTCTAATTTCCTCCCCTCAACTTTATTTAATTCTAATTTTCTCCCCTCAACTTCATTTAATTCTAATTTAGGCCTTGACCTCTCACCTTCCTTCTCATTTGATTTCATCACTTCGCTATCTGTTGGCAGGGGTTCATTAATTTCGTTAGAACAATATTCATTAGCATGTGTATGTATATATATATATATAGATATAAATAAATGACAACCAATAAATATATCAAATAATAAAATAATATTTAATCATATGCAAAAAATAATGACCATATATTCAATTATATGTGACAAAACAATAATTAATGACAGTCATTTATGTAAGGTACTAATACCTCGAAATAGGCAAAAAAAAACAATGTACCATATATATATATATATATGTATATATAATCAAGAAATTTACTAATATTTTGATTCTTTATTTTTATCAAAAAGTGTTTAAATTAACTAAAAAAATAAGTGTTTATATAAGTTGTATGTATATATATATATATATATATATAATATAAGTAAGGTCTAAAGCATATGAAAGGTATTAGTTTTATAATGTTTTAGATATTTACATAATAAAACATTTACTTACTTAAAAGCTTATATTTAAAAAAAAAAAATGCACCAAGTAACTTTCCAATAATATTGAGAAAGAATTAATTGTTATAAGCCGGCTTATTAGCTAAGTTATTAAAATACTTGGTTAATTGATTATAAGCTCTCTCGAAATAAAATTTAAGCTAGCTAACGATTTTTCTTTTCCGAAACAAAATAGTATCTTAGATTTTAACCCATTATGATTATCTAAATAAAAAAAAAATGAGTACATCAAATTTTTAATACGTTATAATTATCTCAATTAAGAAAATCTTATATACGATAAAATATTTTTTCATCTACAATCGTAATAAATTCATAATAGTTTATTGGTCATTATAATCTTATTAATATAGTAATGAATTAAGTTTTCGATCTCGTTTGATTAAATATTATAGGTCGACTACCAGTAGCTCATGATAACCTTCCACATGTAATTATTCATTTTTTCCAACTATAAAAACTGATTTTAAGTCGAAGGTTAAATTAAACCTTCAGAACTCATAAGGAAATTATTGTCGGGTTAGTCAAGGAAAACTCTATCTTCTTTATGTTTTAAAAAGTATGTCACTTTTTCATACGTTTTATCATTTTTAATAAAATTTTGTTGTCCCGAAAATATTAGATGTCAAAACTAAAACTCTGTGAAATATTCTACCAAAGATCAATTATGATAGGATCATCTTGAAAACCTAATGTAGAGGAGAGAGAAAGTATGTCGGTACTCTTTTATCCAAACGTGTGTGAAGTTGTGATTCTGAAGGCATCTGAGCTTCGTTTTTAAGTGATCTAATCGTTCGATGATTGAACGACTGTCAACAATACTCTCTTATTATATTCATATATCTCTTTTATATATTTATAAATATTTTTTTTCGTTATGACAACTTTTTATAATCATTCAAAATGAAAATTATTTTACGTTTAATTTTATTTAAATAACTAATAACATCTTAGTGATTTATGTATAAAAAAAAAATTGATGTTAAAATTGATTACAAGGGAATTCAAAATTGAAAACTGAAGAAAAAAAAAACAAAATTGCATTAAAAAATTTGTAACAAAATTTAATGCTTACTTGGGAAGATTGGTAGATTTTCCTCCATTGACAGTGTGTGAAGCTCAACTTCTGAGATGAAATTATAAGCAGTTTCTGATGAAGAACATGAACATGCTCTGCAAACAAGAATGAAGGAGAAGAAGAAGAAGAAGAATGGGTATGGAACAACTATTTTCCTTTTCATGTTAGTTTATGTATAACAAAGAAGACGAAGGTCTAAGCAGTCTTTAATAACGAATACATATATATATACACACACACGCACGCAACAAATACATACATAAATACCCATTTTGATATGTACATATATATATATATTAATATTATTTATCAAATTATATTCTTAATTTTATAATTGAATAGAACAAAAGGGTATTTCTGCGATTAATGTTTTTGGAAATTAAATTAGATTTTGTAAAAGAAGAAAAGAGACACGTGGTGATGTTTTATGCAGACATTAGCAGAAGAAGAATCCTAAACGATAGTTAAAGGAATTAAATTTATTCGTTTTTATCTTTTAAAGGTGTAAATGGTAATGAAGAATATATATATATATATAAAGGAGGAATATTTACATACAAATTTACAGTCTTTCTTTCGGCGATGCCAAACAAGAAAAAGATAAAGAGAGATTTTCTTTATTAACAGAATATTATTAACAGTCTCCAATTTCCTTTTAAATATTCTATACATAATATATATATTTTTATATTCATATATTATGGAATTGAGTGCTTCTCTTGTTGATTAATCAAGAAATTAAACTTGAGTTTCAATTACTCATACACGTTATTTTCTATAATTAACAGGGTAAATGTTTGTTCAAGTTTATAATGTTAAATACAATTTAACATACTTAATAATTAATTTATAAATTTAATTATAAATTTTTAAATATTAACATTTAATAATTAAAAATTTAATCTTGGTATATAATATTTTTAATGTCAAATTATATGTGTAGGCAATCAAGTTGGTAAATAAAATACTCTCTTTATTTTCACTATTTGAGTTTAAATTTTATAATTAGTAATATTTTAAGAGTGAACTTTTGAATACCCTAAATTAATTTTTTTTCCGAAGTTTATCTAATTTGGGCCGGAGTTAAAGGCTTAGCTTTCGAAGTTTTTGGGCTTGGAATAGGAGCTCATGCAAATTACAAAAGACATGA